CGTCGTATGACGAAAATCGGATGCAGTGTGAATCCAGCATATGGGACCACCCCATAAGTTTTAAAACACCTATTGTAGATCCAGATTAAGGTAAATTTTCACGAGCTGCTTAAACAGACGTTTCAGCGACAAAAAGGATCACGTGATCAAAATTGACAAATATCAAGCGTCCATTTTGATCTTTTTTTGTCGCTGAAACAGCCGGTTTGAACAGCTCGTGAAAATTTACCTTTAATCTTTTGGAATTGGATTTATCAATCATTTGACGGTAGTTGCAAGTTGTCGGCCGATTAATCCATTGCGATTAGTTAATTTCGATGGATTAATCGACCGATTATGCTAATCGGCGAATCGTAAAGTGACCCTTATTGACGCTTCTGACTGGCTGTCGCAACATAGGTCTGTTCGCGTTGCTTACACTTTTGGCACTCGACATCTTCGCTTTCTCTCTTTTCAAGGCCAAATATATATCTATCTCATTTTAAGCGCAAAAATATTTGGGAATTTCATGCAACGCGAACAGACCTCTTATCATAATTATTGTTTACAAATGTGATAAACGTGGCAACGTAGGCGTGATAATACGTGACACATGGGAAATATCATGTGTCTTAGCACTATAAAATAAAATAAAGTTGTCACCAATTAATTGACTTACTGATAATATGGATCTGCCGGTGAACGAAGAAAATCTGCAACGAATATTAGACAAGTTGTCTGAAGATGAGGTTCGAATTGCAGTCACATTAATATTTGATTATATAATATTTATGAGCGGCATAAATCTCTACGATACATCTCTTTAAAACTAAATGCAATATTTTTCTGTGATTCTTTGATATTTTCTTTAGATCTATTGTACTACATGTGAAGAAGCAACATTATATATATTAAAATTGCATAAATTCCACTGTATATTTCACAGAAAGAAAATTGTAATTTTTTAGGTTTTTATAAAGAAAAATCTGGATACGATTCTTACTCGACGATGTCACGTGGAAGCAAAACTGCAAAATATTGGCAAGGTACTACCAAATGTTGTACTGATACGAACAGAAGGAGAGAAATTTTGTGATATGATCGCTCGTACCAACGAATTAGCTGAAAATGTTAGCGCTAAAGTGAGACAGTTGGACTTAGCAAGAGTATGTTACTACAATAAAAACATTATTCTTGGATAAGTCATACGATTCTCGATTTTTTATGAGTGCTTAAATTCTACAATTTTATTCTACAGAGCAGAGTGTGCGAGTGTCAAAATAGAATAAATGATATAATAGATTTGCAATTATGCAGTGAAGGAGTAGCGACTGCGCTGCGAAATGAGGATTACGAGCAAGGTGCTGCACACGTTCATCGTTATTTAGCAATGGACCAGCAATTACTGGAGAGAACAGCCAAAGATGTGTCGGGAGATCATACTAGTATTAGCAGTTCCTTGATCACCTTGCAACAGGCTGCAATGGAATTGAGGGCTGTTGTCACACATAAATTTGATGAAGCTGTGAAATCTGAGGATCTGGCATCCGTCGAGAGATTTTTCAAGATATTTCCGTTGTTGGGGATGCACTTAGAAGGATTAAAGAAGTTTTGCAGTTACTTGTGCACCAAAGTATAATATTGTGTAAAATTATATACGCTAAAATCTTACTGAGAAGATGGTACCGTCTGATTTTTAATTTTTTTATATTAGCTACATGAGACTGCACAGAAGAATCTACAAGCGGCACTAGAAATTAAAAGTAACGACAAGAGAGCAGCTGTTATTTTTGCTGACACCATGACTCTCTTATTTGAAGGGATTGCACGTATTGTAGAAGTACATCAACCGATCATTGAGACTTATTATGGCCCTGGTCGACTATCAATGACAATTTCGATTTTACAAAAGGAGTGTGATAGGTAAGAATAACATCCAATAAACTGCATATCAGATTGTAGATGACCTTCTCTACATATTTTAAAAAATTAATTTATATTTTTTACAAATAGGCAAGTCAAGAAGATTGTTGCAGTATTTACGAAACATAGATGTATATCCAAGAATGTACAAATGATAAATGAGTACTCGCGAAAACCGAGTCCTGAAAGGTTTGACCCTAAGGAGCTCGATCTCCTCTTGGGAGAAATTACTATAATGCATTCGAGGGCAGAACTTTATATACGTTTCTTAAAAAGAAGGGTCAAGGTATTTGATTGTCAGTATGTTACATAAGAAATTAGCAATGTAGATTCATGTGTCGTTTGTTTTGCAGAACGATATAGAGATCAGTATCACAGATGAGGCGCAACGTACAGAATTGCTTAACGAATTTGAAATGACAATAAACAACTCCGAATTGGCACATGGCATGCAAGAGCTGCTTGGTGCCTATCTTGCATTAGAGAGATATTTTCTTGAAGAGAGTGTTAATAAAGCTTTAGGAATGGACGCACTGGATCCAGATCAACAAACTTCCAGCATGGTTGATGATGTATTTTTCATTGTACAGAAATGCATACGGTATATATTGCCAGATTTATGCATACGATATGTATATTATTGAAAATTATAATGAAACATAATGTCTCTGCATAGACGGGCTATGTCGAGTTGGAGTATAGATGGCGTTTGCGCTGTCGTTAATATGGCTTGCGGCATCTTGGAAGGCGAGTTTGCGAACAGATTGAGAAACAGGTTGCGTCAGGGTTATCCTGCAGGCTACCTGGATTTGGCGCAAGCGTACAATGCTCTCCAGACGAGTATACAGCATGGTCGTTTACAAACGTCAGATACAGAATGCGCCCGTCTTATGTTTTTGGTAAAATTTTGTAAATTATGATTTTATATGTTTTATTATACATATATCTGTAATTATATATTTATAATTATATATTTATAATTATTCATATTTATTTAGGCATACTTAAACAATACCGATGTGAGCACGGAATATGTGGAAACATTATGCAAGTGTCTTGGTGCAGAGATCGACGCGACGTTTCCCAATATGCAAAAGAAAGATAGAGGCAAAATTGATAGCTGTTTGTCTAGTCTAAAGGGAGTTATATTGATATTACGAGGCATCATCGATTGTGGTCTAGAACAGTTGCGCGTCAGCGCCGTAAAACCCAGAGTCACTCCGTGGCTCGATGCGTTTCTATCCATTGATCATCATATCAATGAGGTATATCCTGCAAGAATGAGTAAACTTTGTATCTCTAAATGTATGTAAAAAATGGTTAAATATATAATGAATTCATATACAGGACGAACTATTGAGATACGAAACGGATGAGCCATTTGTGCAGACATTAATCACAAACCTAGAGGGTTTACTTCGAGGATTTAAAGATAGTTTAACAACTTCCAATTACGATGCACTTATTGGACTTCTAACTGCGGAAGTTACGGCTCGTTTAGAAAAAGTAGTTTTGAAATCGACCTTTAATCGGGTACTTATATTAGATTTTAATTATTCTCTTATAATCTTTTAGCAATAGTAACAATTCTATTGGGAGTTTTATCTAATTAGTAAGTTATATATAACTCATAATAAAAAGGAAAACGACAAATATAAATACAGCACGGTAATTAATGCGCGAATAAAATATTAATTACGTAATTGTAAGTAAAAACTAGCTATGAAAAGTTGAAATGTACTACTATTAAATGATTTATATTTCTACTAATGATTAATTAACTGTCTAGTATTTTGTTCGCGCATCAATTATATCACTTATATTTGCCGTTTTATCTCTTAATGTTTTTATCTAATTTCTTACAAATATGCATATGCTCATAAATTTAATTTAGCGTAATATAATACCAGAATAAATCTGTATATTATAGGCAGGAGGTCTGATATTGGACAAGGAAATAAGATCGCTAGCCAGTTACTTAGCAGCCGCCACGTCTTGGTCGGTAAGGGACAAATTTGCGCGTTTAACACAGATCGCTACTATTTTAAGTATAGAAAAGATAGAGGAATTGGCCGATTACTGCGGTGCAGACGCGATAGCGTGGCGATTAACGCCGTCAGAAGTGCGCCGTATCGCTTCCCTGAGAATAGACTTTCGACCGGAAGACATCAAGAGACTGAAACTGTGACTTGTTACTCTTTGTATGACGCTACAATATCAAACTATCGAGCCGTGTGCTTGTAGAACATGCATTTAAATACTACGTTTTACATATATGTACATAGAACGATCAATATATATATAATGTTTATTACGATATGCAGAAAACTTATGTTTTTCAATCACTTTAGAATATTATTTTTATTTTGAAGCTTATCTTTTTTTCCATCAACGCTATAATGTGATTTAATTAAATTTCGCATTTAAGTAAAAATTATAAAACTGCAAATTGTCCATGAAATATGTTAAGCACAAAAATCTAAAAGACATATTCTTTTATACATGCGCTAACTCGTGTTTAAGAGGTGAAACACCCCTTTGAAAAAAAAACGGTATCTTTCTTTCGAGCTGAATACGTCGGAAATATAAAAGATGGAAAAAAATTTTTTAAACAACAATTGTACGCGGTTTCAAGAGTACTTTAAAGTTGTGAAA